GAAATTAAAAGACGCCTGCTTCTGGGGAGGAAAGCGATGGCAAACCTAGACAGCATCTTAAAAAGCAGAGACATCACCTTGCTAACAAAAGTCCGCATAGTCAAAGCTATGGTTTTTCCTGTAGTGATGTACGGAAGTGAGAGCTGGACCATAAGGAAGGCTGACCACCGAAGAATTGATGCTTTTGAATTGTGGTGCTGGAGGAGACTCTTGAGAGTCCCCTGGACTGCAAGTAGAACAAACCTATCTGTTCTAAAGGAAATCAACCCTGAGTGTTCACTGGAAGGACAGATCCTGAAGCTGAGGCTCCAATATTTTGGCCATCTCATGAGAAGAGAACACTCCCTGGAAAAGATGGTGATGTTAGGAAAGTGTGAAGGCAAGAGGAGAAGGGGACGACAGAGGATGGACAGGGTCATTGAATCTACCAACATGAATTTGACACAACTCCTGGAGGCAGTGGAGGACAGGATGGCCTGGTGTGCTCTGGTCCATGGGGTCACGAAGAGTCGGATATGACTAAACAACTAAACAACAACAACACAAAGTCATGAACAACCTCCAGTTCTTGCCTGGAGATGATAATAGAGGGAGGTGAGTCCATGCCCTGGCCCATGACTTGTCTTTTCTTCAGGCTGATTGTTAGTCCAAAGTCTTGGCAGGCCTTTGTTTTCCTTAATGGTATGGCTGGCCATGTGAGGCTGGACTTGAACCCGGGTCTCTCAGGCAACTCACCACATGTGACATTTCCACCTTCAATGGTGTAATTGTATCTCTCTGTTTTCGTGTGGCAGTCTTTCAGCTTTCCGTAACAGCAGTCGTGGGCGAAACAGCAGCTGTTAGGATGACAGGAGAGTTGAAACAAAACTGGTCTCCGAGCCCGGAGGTTAATGTTTACGACACACACACACCCTTTTTACAAGTTAGCTACCCATCGGCCAGAAGGTCAGACAAGGCTGTATAGAACCATGAAAGAGAACAAGCCTCCCAATATTTTGTTTCCAGCCTGAGTCACAGGCTCGTATACACGACATTTCCAGGAAAATATAGTAGGATCCCTGTATCCGTGGGATCAGTGTCTCCTGTCTCCCTTATCCATAGTCTAAAAATATTAAAGAAAAATAAAACACCTAGAAATCTATATTTCTAAAAATAGTTACCAGAACCTGCCACTAGAGGGAGACAGAGGCTATGCGGTGTATTGCGTTTGTTATTAAAATAACATTCACTGTTATCCATGTTTGTCAGTATCCACGGGGGACTTGGAACGAATAGGGGGATCCTACTGCGATGCTTTGCCAGAGCACTCTAGCAGAGGATTCAGAGCCCCTCTCCAGTGTACAGATCCGAGGATTTCATAGGGCATGAAATGCCAAGCAGTTATAATGGTCGTGGTTCTCCAGGGAAGGCATTTTAAATGGGAAGCCAGTCCTGCAATGCTGTAAGCACAGCTTGATGCTCTCTGGTGAAGGTGAAGGTGGCAGTCTGAGTGTGTGGTCTGGGCTAAACTGCACCATTATACCTGTCTGATCCCACCTTCACCGTCTGCTGGACCCCTGAGAGAGACAGAGAGAGAACCACAGCAGAGAATTCTTAAGTACCAAACTACAGACTGTCATCCAAAAATGTAACTGTTCGAAGCCTTCGAGAAGTACAATGTTCAGCCAGCACTGAGTTACCTGTCGGTGGCATCCCGTGGCTGTCCTTTTCCACCCAGGCCACAGTAACAGCCGTAACTGGTGTAGTACGGGAACGCTGTTTTCCCAGTGAGTTTTCGGATCATGTGTCCAAATTCCAAAAGGCTCCCGTCAGCTTTCAAAACACCTATGAAAAAGTTGCAGGGTGGTGAGAATATTAGCAGAGCTTTGAAGGTCATTGTTAAAAATCTATAAATTACAGGGACACTTGCAAGGCCTGCCGAGTTTTCTCAAAAGCAGCCGAGGACCATCCTAGACAAGAGCATGTATGTACAAGGGGTCCTCCTTCAAGTATGGAAAGCTATCTCTTTGTCATAGCATGAACTTTCCATATCTTGCATATAGCAGTGCTTTGTTCTGTGATTGGTCATTTGGTGCTAAACATAAAACTCATTCAGGCAAGTTTGCTTGCCTAGGTATGGATTTCTGTGGAGAGAAAATATGTTAATTGCAGGGAACATACATGTCCTGTGGTTATTGTGGGTTTTTTGGGCTCTCTGGCTGTGTTCAGAACACGGCCAAAGAGCCCGAAAAACCCACAACAACTATTGGATCCCAGCCATGAAAGCCTTCGCGAATACAACATACATTTCATACAGTCTGAAAAATATCAAAATTATTAAAAACACTAAAAATATGTATTTTCACAATGTAGTTACCAGAACTGACCACTAGTGGGGGCCAGAAACAATGCTATGTACAGTATTCTTGTTCAAGAATTGATAGCAGGGTCTCTGGCTCCCACTAGTGGCCATTTCTGGAAATACATATTTTGGGATTTTTTCTTTTACCATGCTAGTGTAGTGTTCACTGTTACCTGTGGTTTTCAGCATCTGCGGGGTTGTGCTTGGAACCAGTCCCCCCTGGATATGGAGATCCTACTGTATTGTGATTTTTATAAGTCAAATTAAACATCAGCATTTCTTTGGGGGGGGGGACTTGGGATTGTAACGCAACAGATAAAATACAAACTTCAAACGAAATCCTGTTACTTAGTGTAGCAAGTCACATTGTGAGTAGGCCCATAGAATTAACAAGGATTTGGTGAGTCAACTCCTCTATAAGTTCCTCTGAGACAATGATCCTACACTATTTGCAAAAAAGGGTTTCAACCACAGTGTGTCTTGTCAGCTGACTAGATGAGCACAGGTGAACTCAGTTACAAACCAAAAGAAACTTTTCTGATGCGACACAGCCCTTTTTGCTTTGGGGGAGGTATAGTGAGGGGAGGAAGCATCTGTCCAAACTGTTCCAGATATTATGATAATGGGTTTGCAACCCCATCACTTTTCCCCACCTTTTCTTCCATTGTTTTCCTTCTTGGAAAAGGGAAACAGTTGTCTGTCAACACTTCAAGCTTCTCCCAGAATGGAAAAATGTTTATGCCCTTTTAAAAATTAATCCTAAGGCTATTTATAGTCTCTCTCTCTCTCTCTCTCTCTCTCTCTCTCTCTCTCTCACACACACACACACACACACACACACGATGATCCACACACCTCTGATGAAAGCTGGGTTTGGGGCTTTCTGGACTACAAATACCTATCTGTCTGTCTGTCTGTCTGTCTATCTATCTATCTATTGCATTTATACCCCACCTATCTAGTTGAACGACCACTCTAGGCGACTTCCAACATATAGAACAACAATATAACAAAATTACAATATAGCAAAAATTTTAAACATTAGTAAATGAATTATCCAAGAAGAAAAAAGGGGAAAAGGGAAAAAAGGAAAAATATAAAAAGAAAAAGAAAAAAGAAATCAAGTAGTAACTGGAGCGAAGGCCTGTGTAAACATCCAAGTTTTCAGTTGGTTTTTAAAGCTGCCCAGTGAAGGGGCCACATGAATCTCCAAAGGAAGGTTATTCCAGAGGCATGGAGCTACCACAGAAAAGGCCCAGTTTCTTGTTTTTTCCTTCCGGGCCTCTCTCAGCATCAGACTGCTCAGCCTCACCTCCTGACTCACTCGGGTGATACGGGTAGATTTTTGTGGGAGTAGACATTCTGCCAGGTATCGATGCCCTAAAGTATTTAGGGCTTTATACTTTTTATTTATTTACCGTATTTTTTGCACCATAAGAAACACTTTTTCCCCACAAAACAGGGAGGTGGAAAGTCTGTGCGTCTTATGGAGCGAAGAAAACAGATTATATTTTCCTGTTTTCTTCTCCTAAAAATGGGTGCCTCTTATGGAAAGGTGCGTCTTATGGAGCGAAAAATACGGTATTTATTTATTTATTTATTTATTTATTTATTTATTGGATTTATATGCCGCCCATCTAGACATAGTCTACTCTGGGCGGCTCACAACATACAAAATAAAAACAATTTAAAATACGCACTGTTTTACATAGGTAAAAATGAAACGATATAAAATATAATATCGTAAATTTACAATTTTAACAATTAATTTAAACCAAACAGTCCCAAGATGGCAAGAATCAAAAGAAGAGAAATAAGAAATAAGAATGACTTAATTGACTGAAGGGAAGGCCTGCTTGAATAGCCAAGTTTTCAGCTGGCTTTTGAAAATGCCCAGCGAGGGCAGGGTTGCCAGACGTCCAGCAAAAGGAGGACATGTCCTACTTTTCAGGAGCATGTCCTCCGTCCGGCAGGCAAGACTAAAAAACTTCAAAATGTCCGGCTTTTGTATCTCACCCCACCCCTCCCTCTCCCCCACCCCCTGCCCTGCAGCCCAACCTCTCCCTGTTACTTCCTGGATTGCAGCCCTTGTAAATCCTCCAATGTGGGAGTTCTACAATATCTTACAGACACCTTGTAAAGACTTGAATGTGGCTCACAGGGGGAAAAGGCCTAAACCAGGAAGCTTTGAGGTTTAGCTAGGCCTGGTAAAGGTAAAGGTTCCCCTTGACAATTTTTGTCCAGTCGTGTTCGACTCTAGGGGGCGGGGCTTATCCCTGTTTCCAAGCCATAGAGCCAGTGTTTTGTCTGAAGACAATCTTCCATGGTCACATGGCCAGTGCGACTTAGACATGGAACACTGTTACCTTCCCACCAAGGTGGTCCCTATTGATCTACTTGCATTTGCATGCTTTCAAACCGCTAGGTTGGCGGGAGCTGGGACAAGTGATGGGCGCTCACTCCATCACATGGATTTGATCTTACGACTGCTGGTCTTCTGACCCTGCAGCACAGGCTTCTGCGGTTTAGCCCACAGCGCCACCTTGTCCCTTTAGCTAGGCCTAGCTGCCTCCAAACTTCCTGTTCCTGCCCCAGTGCTAGCTGGGAGATTTCTCTCTGAACAGAAAGCTAGGGGGAGCTAGGCCCAGCTAAGCCTCAAAACCTTAAGATTTAGGTCTTTTTTATCACATTGAGGAGTTTGCAAAGTGCCTTATAAGGCAGGTAGAACTCCCAGAATTGAGAATTTTGATATTTGTATTCTAGCAAATAACAACATTTCATCCCTAGTAGCAGTAACCACAATCTTGTTTCTTTGTTCCCAAGTAGGCCATCTAGTAGCCTACTAATTCATCCATCATTGGTTTGTCCTTCTTTAATTTTTCTTTTTAATTCCACTCACCATAAATGAGCAGCACCATCAGTCCCCAATGGATCTTCATTTCCTGATAAGAATCTGTGTGGTTAAAAAAAAGAGAAGGGAATATCCAAGTACTATTATATATATCAGCCAGCCTACATGCTATTGTGAGTAATTCATCATGTGGAATCACGAAATGAACCTGTCTTACAAACAAATCAAGAAAAATGATGCCCACTTCAAGATCAGATGCAAAATATAACTAAGCAAAATTAAGATAATGGAATATTACGCAGTAGTAAAATGAAGCACCATATAACATCTTATTTTAATAGCAGCCACAGTGGTAATCTATTTATTTAATTTGGTTATAGGATTGATTGTGGCCATATAAATTTGGTTATATAGGATTGATATATATAATTCCTTGCCAAAATCAAATTTTGTTGAAACCTGAGCCAGGAAATAGCATATGGCAAGGTGGTTTGGGGGAAAGGGAGTAAAAGAAGGTGATTTGAAAGGCAATATAAATGGTAAAAGGACAATTATAGGGTTTTCAGAGCACTCTTATCAGAAAATGTTCAAGTTTAATGCCTTTTATTGAATCTAAAGGTGCAGCTAGGTGGAGATTTGCCTCCACAGTTTTGCCCATTCCGGGGCGGGCTGGTTTGGCCCTTTTCTCCATAACCATGTGTTGTATATGTGCCATTGCTAAACCAGCCTGTTCCTGACCCATGCCTGCCTGCCCCTTTTTTGGTTCTCTGCCAGGGGATTGTGTTTTCTTCATCTGATTAGGATCACCCTATTTTGGTTGGGTTCCAGTGTGTTTGGTCGCTGGGATCGAAAAAAAGTGCATGGCTTAAGCTCCCCTTTTGCCTAAGGTGCTTTGTGGTCATGACAAATCGAAAGCTTCCTCCTGTTCCTCCCAGGGAGAGAGAGAAAGAGAGGAAGCAAAGATCTAAAAGAACTCTTTGTAAGTCAGTGCTAGTGAAATATACCACTTGGAAATAAAATTTGAAAGCTTCCTTCCCCTCCCTTTATAAGAGAGCAGGAGGAAGTTTTCAATTTTCTGAGATGCTTAAGCAGCTGAAGCAAAGCAAAGAGGAGCAGGAAGGGCCGAGAGGATTTTGGGGGAATATTTTTTATTTTCTTTCTCTTCCACTCCCCACCCGCCATTTAAAGCGAAAGAAAGGCCAAAAGTGCAGTGTCGTTGATTGTTGCATATGGATGCAAGGATCCCCCGAAATGACATACTGTACCTCATCTCAAAGCAACCCTGTTTAGCACAACCTGATCTAATCCAGGCTGAGATAATTTTGCTGTTTAGTCACACCCTAAATTGTCACCATGTTAATCTTTAATTTTCAAAACTACAGAACTGGCCGTGACAAAGGTGTGTATAATTCTCGGGCACTTTTGCCAGCGAGTAGCCCGTTTTATTGGTTCAAAATTGGGAAAGGAGTACAACAAGGCTGTATATTGTCCCCCGGCTTATTTAACTTATATGCAGAATACATCATGTGAAAGGCTGGACTGGCGGAATCACAAGCCGGAATTAAGATTGCCGCAAGAAATATCAACAACCTCTGATATTTATTTATTTATTTATTTATTTATTTATTTATTTATTTATTTATTTATTTATTGGACTTATATACCGCCCCATAGCGCTACAAGCACTCTATTGCCCCCCCAGCAAGCTGGGTACTCATTTTACCGACCTCGGAAGGATGGAAGGCTGAGTCAACCTTGAGCCGGCTACCTGGGATTTGAACCCCAGGTCGTGAGCACAGTTTTAGCTGCAGTACAGCGTTTTAACCACTGCGCCACGAGGCTCAATATGCAGATGATACTACTCTGATGGCAGAAAGTGAGGAGGAATTAAGGAACCTTGTAATGAGAGTGAAAGATGAGAGTGCAAAAACGGTCTCAAGCTCAACATCAAAAAAACTAAGATCATGGCCACTGGTCCCTTCACCTCCTGGCAAATAGAAGGGGAAGATATGAAGGCAGTGACAGATTTTACTTTCTTGGGCTCCATGATCAACCACTGCAGATGGTGACAGCAGCCACGAAATTAGAAGGCGCCTGCTTCTTGGGAGGAAAGCGATGGCAAACCTAGACAGCATCTTAAAAAGCAGAGACATCACCTTGCTAACAAAAGTCCGCATAGTCAAAGCTATGGTTTTTCCTGTAGTGATGTATGGAAGTGAGAGCTGGACCATAAAGAAAGCAGACCGCCGAAATGATGCCTTTGAATTGTGGTGCTGGAGGAGGCTCTTGAGAGTCTCCTGGACTGCAAGGAGAACAAACCTATCAATTCTAAAGGAAATCAACCCTGAGTGCTCACTGGAAGGACAGATCCTGAAGCCGAGGCTCCAGTCCTTTGGCCATCTCATGAGAAGAGAAGACTCCTTGGAAAAGACCTTGATGTTAGGAAAGTGTGACAGCAAGAGGAGAAGGGGACGACAGAGGATGAGATGGCTGGACAGCTTTTGAAAATGCCCAGCAAGGGTGCCAGCCGAATTTCGGTAGGGAGGGTGCAAAGCAACCAACATGAAATTGACACAACTATGGGAGGCAGTGGAAGATAGGAGGGCCTGGCGTGCTCTGGTTCATAGGGACACGACTAAACGACGGCGACGAGGAGCCCGTTTTGTAGCTGCCTCCTTCCAAAGCAAACTCTTTGGGGAATTTAAATTCCCATTTTGGACTGGTCACTTTGCAGGCCTTCCCCGGATCCCATAATCTTGCCACTGACTGGGGTTAGTGGGCTTTGTAGTCCAACACATAGGTAGTGCTAGGTTGGAGAAAGCTGCCCTTATAGCATGAAAACAAGGAACCTGGGCTGATACATTTCGCCATGTATCCCCTCCTTGGATTTTCATATTTCATCCTACACCTACTGACGACAAATGGTTATGCCATTCCTCCACTCCTTGGCTGTTACAGAGAGGACGACAGAGGGGAGGAGTTCCCCTTCTGTTTGGCGCTGGTCAGGCCTCATCCTGGGTCCAGTTCTGGACACCACACTTTAAGAAGGATGTCGACAAACTGGAACAAGTTCAGAGGGTGATCAAGGGTCTGGAAACCAAGTCCCCAGAGGAAAGGCAGAAATATCTGGTCCTGTTAAGCCTTCAGAACAGAGGGGGAGATCGAAAAGCACTCGTCAGATAACTTGAAATTGTCAGGATCTGCTCTCCATCGTCCCAGAGGGCAGGACATACAACCATGGACTCAAGTTAAAGGAAGTCAGAGAATCAGAGAGAACAGTAGAATAATGGAATCATCAAGTCCCACCCCCTTGCTCAAGGCAGGAATTCAAATCTGGGCAGATCTGACAGAGGGTTGTCTAAATTTCTCTTGAAGGCCTCCAGCGTTGGAGGGCTTCACCACCTCCTGAGGTCATGGGTTCTGTTGTTGTACTGCTTTAACTGTTAAGATATTTTTCTAGATATTGAGCAGAAATTTGGCTTCCCGTAACTTGAGCCCATTGTTGTACATCCTGCACTCAGAAATTATTGAGAACAGATTTTGTCCCTCCTCTGGATGACTCCCTTTCAAGTATTTGAAGAGTGCTATCCATCAGGGACATGGTGGTGCTGTGGGTTAAACCGCAGAAGCCTCTGTGCTGCAAGGTCAGAAGACCAGCCGGCGTAAGATCGAATCCACACAACGGAGGGAGCTCCCTTCACTTGTCCCAGCTCCCACCAACCTAGCCGTTCGAAAGCATGTAAAAATGCGAGTAGATAAATAGGTACCACCTTGGTGGGAAGGTCACGGCAGTCCGTGTCTATTCGTGCTGGCCACATGACCACGGAAACTGTCATTGAACAAATGCTGGCTCTACAGCTTGGAAACGGGATGAGCACCATGCCCTAGAGTCGGATACGACTGGACTAAATGTCAATGGGAACCTTTTATCCAATCTTCCTTCTGTCTTCTTCACTCAAGACTAAATACAGTATACCCAATTCTTTCAGTCTTTCCTCACATGGCTTGATCTTTAGCCCCCTGATTTAGGCTGAATATCACAAAAAAACTTCTTAACAGTTAGAGTGGTACAACAACAGAACCCATGACCTCAGGGGAAGGTGATGAAGTGCTCCAACGCTGGAGTCATTCAAGAGGAAATTGGACAACCCTCCACCAGATCTGCTTTGATTTGGGATTCCTGGCTTGAGCAGGGGGATGGACTGGATGGCTTTATGGGGCCCCTTACCACTCAATTATTTTATGGTTCTATGACACGAAACATAAAAAACTTCCTTGTAAAATGTATCTAAAATGCTCTGGAAAAAAACAACACACTTGCATACATCAAGTGTGACATAAAAACCACTAAAGATGTTTAAATACATTCAAAATATACTTTAAGAATATTATAATTTGGCGTTATAAATCTTAAGAAATTATTATTAGATAAGTCTGGACTCATGTTTTGACTACTTGAAGTCTTTTAGCATAATGCCCAGAACAGTGACCTTGAGCACTCTACTGTTGTTTAAAACTTGGAAACCTTTTTTCTATTTCTTTTTTATTTCTTCATGCCTGACTGGAACATAGATAAATTAACCCTAAGGTGGATCTTTTTAAACTGTACCTTGGGAATTAATATATTGGGCCAAAGTGAACTTTTTGGAACCACCTCCAGGGACTTGAATCACAGTTTTGGCCATGCAGAATTACGGGAACTAGGCCACCAGGATATGGATACAAACACTGAACTGAACTGTGATATTTGGGGCTTTTGAACCTCGGTCCAGGCCTATTTGGTCAAAGTAGATCTTTTGAAACTGCCCCAGGAGCTGGAAGTGCTTATGTTTGATTAGCTGGTGTAAATCTGTGGGAATTAGGGCCATCAGGCCACGGATACAACCATTGCACTGTACCTTGGCACCTTGGGGGTTTAAATTTTGGTTCAGGCCTATTTAGCCAAAGCAGACTCTTTGAACTGGCTCTGGAGACTTGGAATATCTGCTTAGCTGGCATCAATTTGCCAGGGATCAATTGGGACACAGATACAATCATCAAACTAGACTGCGAGTTGGCCTAAGCTCTTGGGCAGCTGGAACAGAATGGCACAACAAGGACAATTTTGGGATGAAACAAAATCTACCCTTCAAACAATACAGTACTAGAAATAGTGAGATCCCACTACCAAGAGGCAAAATTATTCAATGAACATCTGAAGAATTATAGTTAACAAGCGACAGGGAATAACGAAGAAGGAAACGAGAGTGTGCCAGATGATCTATGCCAATCAAAAGAGGAGCTGGAGGGGAGATTCTGGGAGTCACCGGCAGCGAGAACAGGAGAATCTCAGGGCTCTGAGAACTCCTGGGTTTTATTCCGAGTCAGCAGACCCCCCAAGAAAACGGGGGGGGCTAGTCTTCATAGGAGAGTGAAGCTGGCAGCAGAGGAGCTGAAGACGCCGGAGAAATCAGACAGCAATCTGTTTTTTCGAAGGAGTCTCTTCCTCAATTGCAACTGACTCATGTAATTCACCATGTTGGTATGTAGCTGTCCGGAGAGAGGGGAGGAAGATTTATGATCTGGCTGCATGGACTGAAATCGAACTGCTATTTTTATGGCAAATAGCAGGACCAGATGTTTTTGTTTCTCTTTGGAAAGTTTGATTGTTGAGACGACCTCCTAAGCGGCAAGAAAGCTTGGCAAACTTTGGAAGGTTTACTTTCTGCCCCATAACTGGTTAGAATTGAGAACTGAGAAAGTGAAACTTGTTTCTTCCACCCTAACCCCCCTTCCTAAGGTTCGGCTTTTTATACATTAGCAGTTTGAGAATCCTGAATGACTATGAACAGCTTATCTCTATGGAACCCTACTCTGAGCCATAAAGGAGGGTTATAAATTAAAGGCTGTAGTCATTTTTACGACCAGACTGCTGTCCGTAAGACTCTGAAACAGTCCTGGACGAGGAGCGAGGGGGAAAGCTGTTGTCTGACTCTCATGTAAGGGTGACGTCTCACGGAGTTTATGAAATGGTGGCCGCTATGATAATCTCCCTCCATGAATTTGAGTCTAATCTCATCAAACAGCTCAAAGCTCAAGTTTTAGAACTGGAGATAGATATCAAAGCAATATTTCTTGGCTTGGACACTAAGATAGAGAAAGCCAACAAACATACTGTTTTCACGGAACCACATGAACAATCATCATCGTCAGAGAAGGAGAAGAAGATGAAAGATGAAACAACTGACTACTTTGAACTAACTGAACAACGACCGCCGGAGAGCCAGAAGGAGACTTCGCTAAAAAAAAAGCGGAATGGAACACTTAAAAAGGAGGAAAGGAGGGGTGGAGAGAAGGTGGGAAAACACA